TGGTGGCACCTCCAGGCCTTGGTGGCACTTTGGGGTTGGGGGCACCTCCAGGTGTTGGTGACACCTTGGAGCTGGTGACACCTCGGGGCACTGGTGGCACCTCCAGGCCTTGGTGGCACTTTGGGGTTGGGGACACCTCCAGGTGTTGGTGACACCTTGGAGCTGGTGACACCTCGGGGCACTGGTGGCACCTCCAGGCCTTGGTGGTACTTCCAGGCACTGGTGGCATCTTGAGGCACTGGTGGCACCTTGGGGCTGGTGACACTTCCAGGCCTTGGTGGCATTTTAGGGTTGGGGACACCTCCAGGTGCTGGTGACACCTCGGGGCACTGGTGACACCTCCAGGCCTTGGTGGTATCTTGGGGCTGGTGGCACCTCCAGGCCTTGGTGGCACTTTGGGGTTGGGGACACCTCGGGGCACTGGTGGCACCTCAGGGCTGGTGACACTTCCAGGCCTTGGTGGCACCTCCAGGCCTTGGTGGCATCTTGGGGCTGGTGACACTTCCAGGCCTTGGTGACACTTCCAGGCCTTGGTGGCACTTTAGGGTTGGGGACACCTCCAGGTGTTGGTGACGCCTTGGAGCTGGTGGCACCTGGGGGCACTGGTGGCACCTCGGGGCACTGGTGGCACCTCCAGGCCTTGGTGACACTTCCAGGCCTTGGTGACACTTCCAGGCCTTGGTGGCACATCCAGACACTGGCAGCATCTTGGGGCTGGTGACATTTCCAGGCCTTGGTGGCACTTCCAGGCCTTGGTGGCACCTCCAGGCCTTGGTGGCATCTTGGGACTGGTGACACTTCCAGGCCTTGGTGGCACTTCCAGGCACTGGTGACACCTCGGGGCACTGGTGGCACTTCCAGGCCTTGGTGGCACTTTAGGGTTGGGGGCACCTCCAAGTGTTGGTGACACCTTGGAGCTGGTGGCACCTTGGGGCACTGGTGGCACCTCGGGGCACTGGTGGCATCTTGGGGCTGGTGGCACCTCCAGGCACTGGTGGCATCTTGGGGCTGGTGGCCCTTCTGGGCACTGGTGGCACCTCGGGGCACTGGTGGCATTTTGGGGCTGGTGACACTTCCAGGCCTTGGTGACACTTCCAGGCCTTGGTGGCACTTCCAGGCCTTGGTGGCACTTTGGGGTTGGGGGCACCTCCAGGGGTTGGGGACACCTTGGGGCTGGTGACACCTCGGGGCACTGGTGGCACATCCAGACCTTGGTGGCATCTTGGGGCTGGTGACACTTCCAGGCCTTGGTGACACTTCCAGGCCTTGGTGGCATTTTGGGGCTGGTGGCACCTCCAGGCCTTGGTGGCACTTTAGGGTTGGGGACACCTCCAGGTGTTGGTGACGCCTTGGAGCTGGTGGCACCTCGGGGCACTGGTGGCACCTCGGGGCTGGTGGCACCTCCAGGCCTTGGTGGCACCTCCAGGCCTTGGTGGCACTTTGGGGTTGGGGACACCTCGGGGCACTGGTGGCACCTCAGGGCTGGTGGCACTTCCAGGCCTTGGTGGCACCTCCAGGCCTTGGTGGCATTTTGGGGCTGGTGGCACTTCCAGGCCTTGGTGGCACCTCCAGGCCTTGGTGGCATTTTGGGGCTGGTGGCACTTCCAGGCCTTGGTGGCACCTCCAGGCCTTGGTGGCACATCCAGACCTTGGTGGC